ACCTAAATCTTTCATATCAAATTCCTGACTCAATAAAGTTTTCAAACCGATAACATCATCCATGTTCTTCGCAGCAACAACATATCATCAACATACAGTAATAGAAAAATAAAGAACCATCATCAAGGCTCTTAACATAGACACAACAATCATACTCACATCGGTTGTAGCCAATCTTGATCATATAGGAGTCAAACCGTTTATACCACTGTCTCGGAGACTGTTTTAACCGTACAAAGATTTCTTCAATCTGCAAACTAAATGCTCGTTCCAGGTTGAGTGAAACCTTCAGGTTACCGCATGTAGATCTGCTTCTCTAAATCACCATGCAAAAAAGCAGTTTTAACATCCTCTGCTCTAAATGCAAATCCCAACTAGCCACCAATGCAAGTACTGCTCGGATTGAAGTGTGCCTGACCACAGGAGAAAAGATTTCATCATAATCAACTCCTTTCTGCTGTGAAAAACCCTTCGCTACCAAACGAGCCTTGAACTTCTCCCCTCTTTTTCTGTTACTGCTGGTTTCTTCTTATACACCCATTTGCAACCAATCGGCTTCTTACCCTCAGGAAGGGGAACTAACTCCATGTGCGATTGTGATTCAAAGACTCCATCTCCTCAACCATGGCTGCCATCCACTTGTCGTTTTCCTGACTAGTAACGGCATCATGAAAAGTAACTGGATCATCACTGCTAACAGTAAGTGCAAAAGATACCAAGTCTTCAAAACCCAATCTGTTCGGAGGCTTTATATTCGTCCGTCTCACCCTGTCTCTGGCGAGACTATAATCCTGCAAATCATCCGTAGTGGAACCACCAGAAGTCGGTTGAGAAGTTTCTGGTTTCTCAACTGGAAACTGCTCGAAATCTACCACTGTCGTGTCTTGCTTCTGCTGCAACATAGACTGTTCATCAAAAACGACATCTCTACTAATCACAACTTTCTTCGCAACTGGATCCCAGAACTTGAATCCTTTGACACCTTTCTTGTAACCCAGAAAAATGCACTCCTTCGATTTTGCATCAAGTTTGGATCTCTCATCAGCAGGTACATGCACATAAGCAGGACAACCAAAAATCCGTAAGTTATCAAAACTAACATCATGACCAGTCCATACCTCTTCTGCAACTTTCCCAGCCAGCGATGCCCTTGGCGATCTGTTGATAAGGTAACACGCCATGTTAACAGCCTCAGCCCAGAAGTGTTTGGGAAGCCCCGCATTCAACCGCAAACATCTGGCTCTTTCATTCAACGACCTGTTCATTCGTTCCGCAACACCATTCTATTGTGGTGTCTTGCGCACTGTAAAATGCCTCTGAATTCCATGCTCCTTACAGAATTGTAGGAACCGTGAATCTGTGTACTCCGTACCATTATCAGACCGCAAACACTTGATTTTCGTCCTGTTTGGTTTTCTACCTCAGCTTTCCACAGCTTGAACTTCTCAAAACTTCAGATTTCTGTTTCAAAAAATACACCCAAACTTTCCGTGAAAAATCATCAAAAAAAGTAACATAGTACCTAGATCCACCCAAAGACGATGTCGTGGAAGGCCCCCATACATCAGAATGCACATAATCAAGAATCCCTTGAGTTGTGTGCTTCGCAGTCTTGAAACGGACTTTAGTCTGTTTACCAAGAACACAATACTTGCAAAAATCGAGCTTACAGCTTTTGACACCATGCAACAAGTTTCTCTGTGTAATTCTGCCATACCACGTTCACTAAGATGAGCAAGGCGCATATGCCACAATTTTGTCGTATCATCACAGGACTCAACAGAGTGAACTCCACCTGCAACGGTACTCCCTAACAATCTGTAGATATTCCCTGCAGTCATCTTGCCTTTCATCACAGTCAATGCTCCTTTAACAATCCGAATGGTTTCCCTATCCTCGCCAGCCTTAGGGATAAAACCATTCTTGTGCAAAGTGCCCAAGGAAATCAAATTCTTCTTTAAGTCTGGGATATGTCGAACACCACTCAACGTCCGAACGGAGCCATCGTGCATCTTAATTCTGACATCACCAATACCAACAATATTGCAACATCGATCATCACCCAAATAAACCGAACCAGAATTAACCGGCCTGTATGTCGAAAACCATTCCCTATTTGGCGTGATGTGATAAGAACATCCAGAATCAAGAATCCAAGCATCCGTCAATTGTGTCGTTGAAATAGAAAGCATATCACCCTCACTGCAATCAGAAGTATCATCCTCGACCACGTTCACAGACTTGGATGAGCTATCACGCTTCTCATCGGTCTGCTTTTTCAACTTCGGACAGTCTCGCTTCATATGTCCCGCCTCCTTGCACTTGTAACAGTGAATCGTCTTCTTATCCCTGGATTTGGATCTGGAATTCCGCTTCCCGGACCCTGCCTTCTCTGGCTTCCGTCCACGATCTCGATTACCCTTGACATATAAGCTATCGGCTTGAGAGCTTTCCCCTGCATTCTGTTTCCGCTGGTTGTGAGCCAACAAGGCTGCAGTAATCTCCTCAACGTTGATAGTCTCTTTCCCATATGTAAGAGTAGTCACCATGTGTTCGTAAGAGGAAGGCAACGAACACAACAGAATCATCGCTCTGTCTTCATCCTCAATTTTCACATCAAGCCGAGCCAGATCAGAAACGATTTGATTGAAGACATTCACGTGTTGCGCCAAATCGTGATCGTCCTGCATCTTCAGCCCATACAGCCGCTGCTTCAGATACAGTTTTGTCGTTAAGGATTTGGACATAAACTGACTTTCCAACTTCCTCCAAATTTCGTCTGGAGACGATAGATGCATGACGTGATACATGACCTCGTCCGCCAAGCATAATCGTATGGTTCCTGCCGCTCGCTGCTGCAATTCTTCCCAATCTTCCTCATCCATCGACGCCGGCTTTGTAGGTCGCAAAGCCTTCAAGATCCCTTGCTGCGCCAATAGATCCTTCACCCTCGTTTGCCATAATCCGAAGTTACCCTGACCATCGAATTTCGCGACTTCGAATTTTGCTCCTGACATCTGATACCAATTGTTGACGAAAACGGGTAAAGAAAACGAAAGAACACGAGAATTTTACGAGGTTCGGCAATGTGCTTACGTCCTCGGTGCCTAGGCGGCGCTAGAAGTTTTATTCAATGATATTTTAGGTCTAGGTTACATCTCTATTTATAATAGAAAACCCTGGTACATAATTACAAAATCAACCCTGTACCGTACCGCAGGGGCTGCGCCCCCACACCCCCAACCCACATAATTCGTAACCCCACAACGAGACTTTTTATGAGCCATACATAACAACATACATAAAGTACTATACAATGTCATATATTTATTATTGAAATCAATAGTTAATCTGATATCATTTGGAAGTGTGAGCTTGTGCATGAACATTTAACCATTTGCATATGCAAATTATTATTTTTTTAGTAAGCTAAGGTGATTACAAGGTAGTATCTATTCTAAATACTCTCAATCATTTTACAATAAACGCCCAATCACCCTGCTGTAGTTGCTGGTGTGCGAACCCGTGATCTCTAGGAACAATAACGATTCCTTTAACAACTGAGATAAGTTGCTTCGTGCTGCATATGCATATTAAGGATGTGAAGTTTAGGCATACATATACAAATAGACAAAAGCAAAAGAATGAAATTCATCAAATTATTTAGATTCAAGCATTTAAAACTAAATGATGAACATTCAAACCAATTGCTACATAATCATGTAATAAAAAATATTTTGCATACCTTACACTTTGTATGATTTAGATTCATGAACAGTGTTGTGAACAGTGTTGTGAACAGTGAAAAATAGTGACAAAATAGTATTTTTCATGTTTAAAATTAAAACATTTTTAAATACTTTACAAATATTTTAATCAACTCAAAAATATTTGATATAAAACAATTAATAACATATATTTTTTAGGTTTTAAAATTTTTGAAATACATTTTTTAAGTTGTTGGACTTTGAATTATTTTTGAAACATTTAAACAAATTTAATAAAGTCCAAAAATATTTTGTCTTTATTTTTTATATCAAAATATATGTTCAACAAAAATTTTGAGTTTTTTTATTTACGAAAATTATGGGTTTTTTTAAAAAAGAAATTACATTTTTAAGTTTTTTATTTTAAATAAAAAATATTAAATTACCATAACGTGTCACTTAATAGAATATTCAATGTCGTTATGATCAGGATGCTTAAAATGATAACGTTTGTAACTTTAGGTACCTGGATTGACCGAAAAATAATTAAACACCTAAATAGGAAAAACAATATAATTTAGACACATATTTTTATATTAAGTATGTAAAAAACATTGATATCATTGGTAGAGTCCACATAATTCCAGTATTTTGTTACACGCAATAAGTAGAGTGTGATCTTTGAAATTTTTGAAAAAAAAAATTATTTTTTATAGAAATAATAGAATAAATCAAAGTGTAAGCACAAACATTGTTGTCTCTTTCAATGAACTACATTTTTCATATTAGAAGCAATACAATAATATAAGAACTAGACAACAAAGATACTAATTCAAATCTAATTTATATTTTGAAAACATAGATCATAAAATTGGAATACACCCTCTAAATCGAAAATGAAATATACCCCAAAAAAATGGTTTGTTTATCACTGGCGTAATGTCAAAAATAGACGACAACGTTTATTAAAATGGTCATTTTAACTCATATTCTCTTTTTTTTTTGGAGTATTTTGACCCTTAATGTTTCACTTTAAGGCAAAAAACTCCCTATATAGATGAAAATTATTAGTTAACACATGATTAATATTATAAAATATGAGTCTTTTTTTAATTTAAAATGAAACTTTGAGGGCTAAAATGTCCCAAAAAAAGAATAAAGGACAAAATAATTATTTTGTCCATAAAACGTTGGGGGACAAAATGATAAAAAAAATAGAATAAGAGGCAAAATGACCATTTTGATAAACGTTGGGAATTAATTTTGGTATTATAAGTTTATCATTATACTTGTTCATAATGATGGAACAACACCATATCCATAATCATCCTTGGAGAACATGTGATCGTCATCAACCCCCGTGTTTGTTTTTCTGGCAAATCTGCCTTTGATTCGAGGTCTAGTCTCTGCATAAGCTTTCCTTGATGCATACCTTATTTTCTTGTCAAATTTTCTTGCCTTCCTCTTCTCTCTGTATCTTAGAACCTTTTCTTCCCTATTCACAGATGGCAACGGCATTAGAAGCGAAGGGTTTGGGAAGATTTCAGTTGTTGTTGCTGGAAATCGAGTGTATGAATTTGGGATGCCAGCAATGAACAGCGGCATGGGAACCTAGATGAATACATTTAAAAAGCTTAAGATGAACGAAAATGGTAAATTCTGAGAAACAAAAAAGTTATTTCACAAACTATAATGATCTTTGAATTCTGATGTTGTGTTTGGATTGTGAGTAGGGATTTAAATAGTGGTATGTGACTGTAGTAGCATCAGCAATATAACGGTAGCAGTGTCGTTTGATACCACTATTATATGACTATGATACCTATTATTACTACAACCACGATAAATATAAAATAACCCAAAATACAATCACAGTCGTTATCTAAATCCCTGATTGCGAGAAGTAATGAAATGGACTTACATATATATGATATATGCCATTAGTTTGGTGTGGCTGAGCTTCCTGAGTATGTTTCACCCCAACAACAACATTTGCAACCATTAATGAACTGTGGGTAAAGCTTAAAAAAATCATTTATCAATTACCAGTTGAAAAATGAATCAATTTGGGTAAATTGTACGTTTATTGCCTAAATTATTACTTTTATTTTGTTTTAGTACTTAAACTTTATTTTTTTCAAAATCATACATAATGTGTAATTAGTTTTATTTTGCTACCTCATTGTTAAAAACTTGAAACTGTTGGCATTTTTATGAGTAAATTATATCATACATCACTCAACTATCTTCTCACTCCTATTTTGGTCACTAAAATTAAAAAAAAAAATCAATTTAACTACTCAACTTTCAAATTGTTCATGTTTTAATCACTCTATTTTATTTTATTAATATTTTTTGTGACATGATATCTTTATTATTATTATTTTAATACATAATTAATACTAAAAACCAAATTTGAAAGTTGAAGTGATTAAATTATGAGTAATTTTAAAGTTAAGTAATTAAATTACAAAAATTTAAACTTCAATGACCAAAATGGGAGTGAGAAGATAGTTGAGTGATGAATGATGCAATTTACACATAAAAATGCCACGTAAAACAGTTCCGTTAAATTATGAGATACCAAAACGAAACAAAAAGTAAATGTTAGGTATGATTTTGGAAAACAATGAAAGTTTAAGTACCAAAACAGAAAAAAGTAATAATTATATACTAAACTTATAATTTACCCAATCAATTTTGGGGTTTTTTTTTTCATAAAAACACTTGTGAAGTTAAGAATGTGTAGGATCTTACGCTTAGAGTGCTTGAAGGGAGAGTGGTGAATGCAGCTTTTGATCCCCTATTGTCAGAATTGAGGTGAATGGTCTGTTCCTGCAATGGTTGATTATTAGTTTGAACTGGAACAACACTATCATTTCCACTATCTTCTGGATAATTCAAGCACACAATTTGCCGCTGATCAATCGACCATTGTTCGCCACATGACGGGGTACATGTATCCACAATGTTAACGTACTCCTCGCGTTGTTCACCATAGTTGAATCCACTCATGGTCTGGTTGTCTGTGTTTTCAGGCTCAAGCAATAACCAAGAATCGGTCTCGTCTTCGTCGATTTCTCGACTTGGTTCCGCAGTAGGGCCTTCGAACATTGTGCAAGGCAGCTGATCATGGTGAACACTTGAGGATGAACATTTTACACCCGGAAGTGGAGGTATAGGGACCCTAGTATGACGGCGAGCCAAAGGGTTCACCGAGTGTATTTGGATGTCACAATCGATGCAAAGAGACGCTGCGTCGGCACTGCAGGTGACAGCAGCCGGAGCAGTCTCGCAGGCTGCACAAATCCACACACGGTGGTGCGACATGGCCGAAGGATTGCCGCCACCATGGATACGCTTATCGCAGTCGTCGCAGAGGTAAGCCGAGTCGGTGTGGCAATAAAGTGTGCAGGCCGCTGCTTGGCATAAATCGCATGAATGAATCCAATTGTTAAGGTAACCATCTTCACCAGAGTTGTCTTTCAACATGCTTGTGTGCTTTTCAACCAGTGAATGTATATCAAGTATTTATAGTATTTCAAGTGATAAGATTCAAATGATTTTAAATACCATGTATTGGGAAGAAACAGATTGTTAATGAAAAAGAGAAGCTTAATGAACTTTCCGTGGATTTTAGCCACAAGTTTGCACTTTTTCATTAAAGTTGCACGTGATTTAAAAGCCAAAAGATTCACACTCACACTCACACTCACACTCACACTCACACTCAACTATGTTAAAGGGAAAAAGTATTTTTTTTAGTAAAGTACACAAATGCTTATGAATACATCGACTATTAAAAGTTAAAAATAATCTATTAATTATAAGATAATATTTAATTAAGTTTCTTAATTATTAAAAATTACAAAATGATCATTTGATTATTCATATATTCCAACTCGTCCTTTTTTGTTAAAAAATAGAAGGCAGTTTAAGCTGGACATTAACTTGCTGACTGTGATATCAGTGGTAGAACTTAGTGATAGAGTTTTGGGGACAATTTAAAACTTTAAAAAATTGAAAGGTTTAAATTAAATTTTTTGAAGGGTTTAGTTTACATTTTAAAAAAAAATTAGGGTCTAATTAAAATTTTTGAAATTTTTCAGAGACTTAATGAGAATTTTTAAAAATTATGGGAAGGGGTTTAATTAAGAACATTAAAAAAATTAATCTAAATTTCTAAAAATTTTGAGGGAGTAAATTATTTTTTTTTGAAAATTTTAAGGGTTTAAATTATAATTTAAAATTTTTGGGGCATAGCCCCCCACTAGTCCCTCTTGTGTTCTGTCACTGTGTAATATAATAAAATTTGATCCTAAAATCTTAAACGACAATCATATCTCAATCAACAAGTCAACGTTCAATATAGATTGTCATCAATTTTTTAACGAAAAAGAACAAGTTTAGAATGTATAAATAGTTGAATGACAATTTTGTAACTTTTAATATTCGGTGAACTCAATAAAACAACAACCTATAGTCGGGAGACTCAACAAAGAAGCGTCCTAAAATCAAGGGACCATTTGTGTCCTTTACCTTATTTTTTTTAATAGTCTTAAGTGATTACGATGTATTATATATTCTTAAATTCTTTTAGACGTCGACAATGCACGCACTTTGCAAAACCAATTATTTGAAACTAAAATAGAACAACATTCTTTCAACTGAAATAGCTCGAAGGGTCGACGAAAAAGTAATTATTAGTTGTAAAATTTGGATATTTGAAGCACTTTTTGTATGTGGAGAGGTATTAAACTAAGAATCTGTGGAGTGGCAAGTGATGGAATTGAACACTAAAAAAAGGGTTGAAAACAGCATCCAAAAGAGTGAAGTAAGGGAAGGTGGAGTTTGATGCTGTAAGTGAGAATCCAAAAAGTGAAAAGCGTCATGGATTTTGAGCTGTTCAAACAAATGATCTTGTGGCTCACATCTTTACTTCTTTCCCAGAATCTTTCACCTCATAACACAAATTTTGCATCAAGTAGATATAATCGTAATAGATTATGTTAACCTCTCAAGAACGTATCAAATGTGATCGTGATTTCGTGTTATGCACATATACACCATAAGCAATCAATCAAACTATAAGGAAAAAAGTTGATATAAGAAAGCCCTTTAGCTGCCACAAGCTAGGATGAAGCTTTGTCTGGATTGTTCTTGATATTGACATGTTCTCAGTATTGAGCATAAAACCATTATGTAGTGATAAAGAGAATGGACCATACAACAACACAATTTCTCATAACTATGCAAATCTTACTCTGCTTAATTCTAATTGATTCCACCCAAGCAATCAAAATCCGGCAACGTTTATGCTTCCAAAGTGATGATGGTTGACAAAGAACACACTGGACTATTTCAAATCCATATTACTCAGAATTGGATGTGTCCGATAGAGGGACGGACGTAAACTTTTATAAAAATTTTATATTAGAAGAGGCAAACTTATAAAATTTTAAGGGGATAAATATAGATTGTTAATAGAAAATAACAAATGTTGGGATAATAATCTGGGGTTGGGGGGAGCGGATTTCCATATATGATGCTCCCACCAATTTATTTGTTGAAGTTGGGGGCGATTTCTATAGTGCGATTTGCAATACGCCGAGAGAACAGTGCGTCTTCAGCAAGACACGGAGACCATAATGCATCTTCAGCTCTCTAGAGGAAAATGCATTCACGAGACAGAAACAGAACATGCATGGTGCATGGGGAAGACATATTGTGACTCGTTTGTCTTCCCCAGGAAAGCTGAAGATGCACTGTGGTCGCTGCATCTTTCAAATGGCACTGTAACAATCGCCCTACTTCAAATAATTTGTGGGGGCAGTATGTGAGAAATTTTCCCCCACAACTTTATCCAAGCGTTTCTGTCAATAGAAAATACAAATATATATATATATATATAAGATACATGAGAATTTAAAATTTTCAAGAGCAACCACCCTCATTTCGATCCATCCCTAGATGTTTCAAACATGAGCATATTATCTTGTAAAAGTTTTTCGGATTGTATCTCGATACTCATTTCTGAATATGTGTCAAATACGAGAACTTAAAGAAAAACGAAAGTTCGGCCAACATAGGTTGACATTTCTAAATACTTGAAACATTTTGCAGACCAAAATACTGATAAGAAAACCTGGAAACAGGCATGGTTTATTAACATAGACCTGCAAATAAAAGAAGCTGAGATACCTAGAATATGCACTGAATGGATAACAGAGATTATTGAGGCTTTCCTATAAAATTTGAATCTGGGATCCAACAAATCACTGATCATGAAGTTAAATAACTATGGAAAAAAATTACTGCACAAATTCACCAAAAAGGATTATCTATCTATGTTTTAGTAAGGAACTCCAAATGCTTACATAGATGCTTTCACTTATGATGCAAATTGCTAGATCTTCTAATTGATCAACTTTTACATCACTGACTTGATGCCCTTTCCTTGTAACCTCACAGTGAATACTTTGAGACCAACTCGTCGACTTGAATTAAAATATCGTCTATGCGAGGGAGAAGAGTAGCTTGAGGCTGAAGCATCCAAGTAACGAATTGGTGAAGATCTTCTGGATATGGTTGTTTAGGTCCGGCTGGCCACTTAATCTGTGCATTTACAATAGCCAATTGCAGGCTTCCTCCAGATTCTCCAAGTGCATACTCAAAATGGGATACACCATACCTAGAATAAATGAAAATTAATGACTTAAGTAGCTAAATTAAAGCTGCTAACTACATAAACTGAAATGGTTTACCACGGAGGATAAAAGCGTAAATGAAGGTATAGACAGAACAGTGTAAAACGGACACAATGAAACTCCAATAAGAGTCCATTCATTCGAAGACTGTCAGGAAGGATATGAAACTCCAATAATGTCAATTTATTAGCATTGCTCAACATAAAGTGCACGTCATGAAGTTGGCAAATAATGGTTAGCATATAAATTCATCAACTTGTCGGGTGCCGAATCTCAATCAATCAGGTTACATAGAGTCATCGCTCTTTATATCTACACCAACAGAAAACTTCATAAAAAAAATGGAATACACACTGTTTTTTGCATTATAGAACTTTCACATCTAATACTTAAAATGTACTCCTTGGTTTAAGACAGAAGGAAACGAATAGAAATGGTCAGCTATATGATTTCCCAAATACTTTGTTTACCATATTGTTTGTCAAAGAACATGAACAATAATGAAATGAGAGTGCAACAACAAAAAAGGTTAACCATACGTAACTAACACTGTATTTGTGTATGTATAAGCGTTAATTATTACATTATTGCATATAAAGTGCAGCCCAACGACCAAATATCAGTTCTCTCATCAATATATGCATCACTGGGGCAATCCCACAATTCAGGGGCTCGGAAAGGTGCTGAACAATGCTCAGATGCCCATTCCTACATATGGATTATTAGCAAGAAAAAAAAATATTTTTTAACATCTTTTATCTAGACGAAAAGGTAAATGCATCATATAAATAAGCCAATAATGTATTTATACATAATTTTTATGTGTTTAAATAGTACACATGTCTTTGTTGATAGATGTAGAACATCAAGCGTACAGATTTAAGGAACTGGAAGATCTTGGGTTATTTTCAAGAAAAGATGAGAAAGAAGTCATAAGCACAGAAATATAAGAAGACCTTTAAGCAACAAAGAAACATAAAGAAGAAACGAACACCTGAAGCTGTAGTGCCTCTGAACGAGAGCGAATTTGCATCCTTGCAGGACGAGCACTCCCAAAATCCATTAGTATAGCAAGAGGCCATTTCCCTTTTCTATGGGATAAAAGAATATTACCAGGCTTGATGTGCATATGTTTGAGTCCTGCACACAGCTGTGGAAACAATTTGGTTTTTATGTTTAAAATCATTTAGCAAGTTCAAGACTCACCGCTCTCAGGATCGGTCAAGGTTGAAACCAGGAAATTTTGAACTCATAAAGTTGTACATTTGTCAGGAAATATATGTTGCTCTTATGAAAGATTGTTGGATTAAAATCTATAATTGTAGGCACATATGTATATGTATAATGTTAACATAAAATATGGCACAAAATTAAGTGACCAATTATGTTACATGTGTCATAGGTATTAAAGTGTCATGGAATTAAAATATAAATATCATAAGTTGTATTTATAATTTGATGAGGGGCAAAATTATAAATATTTAATATATTGACCTAATATCCATTCTATATAAAGAGGTAGTAGTTCAAGAAATAGGTTAACTTGTACGTGATAGAGTTCTAGGTCAAGGAAAAATCTATCTTCTTAGAAGATCACAACTAAAGATTTCAACCTATCAACTAATTCAAGTATGCTTCCATATTTAGTATTTTATTCTTAATAATTTAACTTGATAGATCTTAGGTTCTTATTCTAATAAGAAGCAACTAAAAATGTATCACAACTTGCAACATGGGAAAACAACAATATCTAATATTATTCATTTAGCAAGTTCAAGACTCGTCGT